CTGCCTCTGACACTCCCATCCCGATTACCCCAGTCACCAAATCAATTCATCTCATAGAGGGTCTTCCCCTCCTGCGCTGTCCCTCCACCCTCCAAGCATGATGTCCCTCTCCAAGGACCCGTCCCTCCTGGCAACATGTCCAAAGTATGTCAGACGAAGCCCCAGAATCCTTGCCAAGACTGATTTGCTTTTTTGGCAGTGAATTAAGATATTCAATACTCTTCTCCAATAGCACAGATCAAAAGCATTGATTCTTCTTCTGTCATCTTATATGTCCCACTTTCAGATGCACAGCAAGTAACTGAAAAATTCTGTCTGGGATCAGATACACCTTAGTCTTATAAGCAATCAATAATGTTGGTTATCTCACACCTCTCAATATATGTTCTTCCTACAACTCCTTTACTTTTCTTTTTCTTCTAACAGTATTAAAAATTAATGTTCCAATAAAAGAAAAGAAGGCCTTAAAGTTCACATTTTACTTTGACTGACAGACTTGTTTTTCTCCAGTCCCTCTTCCAAAACCTATCTCCAGACTTGTTCTTCCATTCTCTAATCCCAATTAAAAAAAAAAAAAACCACTTCCAAGATTATGTCTTCTTCTTAAGGTATGTGGCCAATATAAACTTATGTATAGTAAAGTCTGTCTAGAATACCTTATTAACCTTTACTCAAAGGTTACTTGTTGAAAAGATGTTTTTATTTCCAAAAAAACAAATCGCTAATGATTCCTAAGAAAGGTGATCCAACAGAATATGGAATTTATCAAACAATATTATTAATAACATATGCAAGCAAATATGGCTGAAAATCGTTCAAAAATTGCTGGAACAGTACATAGAAAGGGAACTGCCAGAAGTTCAAAGAGGATTTAGAAAAAGGTTGTGGCACCAGGGACATCATTGCTGACATCAGATGGTTCCTGGCTAAAAGTAAGAATACAAGAAGAATGTCTATTTGTGCTTTATTGACTATGCAAATGCATTTGATTGTGTGGATCATAACAAATTATGGCTGACATTGAGAAAACTGGGAATACAAGAGCACTATTATTGTGCTCATTTGAAACCTATACCTAGACCAGGAGACCATCATGCAAAAAGAACAAGAGAAAACTACAGTTTAAAATTAAGAAGAGAGTACACCAGGGTTATATTCTTTCTCCATATGTATTCAATCTGTATGCTGAGCAAATTATTCAAGAAGCTGGACTCTCTGAAGAGGAATGTGGCATCAAGATCGAAGGGAGACTCATCAATAACCTGCATTATGCAGATGACACAATCTTGCTTGCTGAAAGTGAGAACTTGAAGTACTTATTGCAGAAAATCAAAGAATACAGCCTTCAATATGAACTGCATCTCAATGTCAAGAAAACAATGATTCTTACCCCTGGAGCTACAGGCAACATCATGATAGATGGAGAAACGACTGAACATACCTACAACTTCTTAGTTAGATCCACAATACCCTTGGTACTAACAGTAAGGAAATCAGGAGACATCTTGTACGTGGAAAGTCTGCAGTTAAGGACCTCTCTAAATTTTAGAGTAATGATGTCAGTTTGAGGACTAAGGTGCCTCCGATTCAGGCCATGGTCTTTCCAATCACTTGCTATGCACCTGAGAGCTGGACAATGAATAAGGATGTCACTTGCTATGCATCTGAGAGCTGGACAATGAATAAGGATGACACAAGAACTGATGCTGTTAAGATGTGGTACTGGAGAAGAACACTGAACATCTCATGGACGTCCAAAAAAACAAATAAGTATGTCCTGGAGAGGGTACAGCCAGAGCACTCTTTGGAGGCAAAGATGATGAGGCTTTGTCTCATATACTCTGGGCTATTCCTTGGAGAGAGACATGACGCTTGGAAAGGTAGTGTTGGCGAAGGAGAGGAAAACCCTCAACCAAGCTGAATGACACAATGACTACATCCAGGGGCTCTAAGATGTCAAATGTGGAGATGACACAGGATAGGAGGCAGTTCAGATCTGTTGTTCACAGGATTGCTATGGGTCATATGGGACTTACCATCATCATACTGGACACGTTTGAATAATTTAAGATTTGAACTTAAATTTTCAAAACTAAAATTTTCTCTGAAAAATACTCACCATGCTTATGGACCATGTTATCAATATTAAATTGGTGCTCAGACTTGCAGTGTGAAAATGTTTCTTCAGCAGAAGTGAATAACCTGAAAAAGCAATCAATAGCATCATGGAATAGTCCTCCCCAAAATTAAAATATTGATCTCACCTGAGTTTTTTTTTCTTTCAGCTGGTTTACAGCTTTAATTCCAGTTAAGGACCAAAAAACCCCCCAAGATTTAAAAAAACCAACCATATTTATAGTAAAAGGGAATCTAGTGCCTATATGGAGAATTTGTACTTCTGAGTCCCTAGTTACACTGTTGTTGTTATGTGCCGTCAAGTTGCTTGCAACTCATAGAGGCCCTATGTACAAGAGTCCTAAACCCTGATCTATCCTGTGCCAAACTTACCATCTCCGATACACTCACTCCCACAACCCCAATTACTGAATTGATTCATCTCATTGAAGGTCTTCCTCTCCTGCGTCGTCCCTCCACTCTCTCAAACGTGATGTCCCTCTCCAAGGACCAGTCCCTCCTTTCAACATAGCCAAAGTTTGTCAGACAAAGCTTCAGAATCCTTGACTTCAGGGAACATTCTGGCTTCACCCTCTCCAGGACAAACCTGTTTATTCTCCTAGCAGTCCATGGTATATTCAACACTAACAGCTCTTTGACTATTAAAGGGAACTGTGGTGACAAGGGCTGGGAGTCAAAGGCAGTTTTAGTCCACCAGCAGTTCCTTGGGAAAAAGATGGGCAGTCTCCTCCTCTGGGGATTTAAAATCTCTGTAATCTAAAGGAGGGTCAGAACCGCCTCAAAAGCAGTGAGTTTGAGTTTAGTCTGCGATAAATATTAAAGTCAACTGACTATGACAAAATTGTAACTTTATCAGAAGGCTTTTAGGGAAGAGCATCCTCTGATAGGTTATGTTTCTTGCAGGTACTTGAGATGCTTCTCTCCTCTAAGTATCATCTCTGCTTTCAAAGGTTTTGATTTGGCCCAGCTTAAACTGCTTTTAGAAAGAAAGCATTCTGTTTTATAGTTGGCACATTCCCCAAAAGAATATTTCAAAAGTGACCATGTAATGTTCACAAAGCACCCGCATTAGACACCATGCAGACCAAGCTCCTTTATTACATGATCGGAGAAGCTGAAGGACATAGAGCTAGGAATACACACTGAGAAGCTGCATGCCTTTCTCACAGTACATATGCAGCAATAATTCTCAACAAACATGGACTGAGGAAGGTTATCTGCAGTATTTATGGAGCCCATCATAAGGTAATAAACTCATGTTCAATAAATATAGATATTTTACAGGTAAAATATTATTTTATACACCTATCCAATGAGAATACATGAGGGGAAAAAAGGAGGAAACGGAGTGAATATTGCATTACCAATAAACACTATGCTCAGACATAATAAACACTGGAAAAATGTCTAAAAAGTAGCACTGGTCATTCCCAATCAGGCCTGTTTGATGTTCACATGCGACTGACATCAGCCAAATATAATAAAGTTGTTTAAGATTCAAACACACTGCCCAGGAGATAATTTCCAACCCACAGCAAGTCTCCACTAGGTTTCCAACGCTGTAAATCTCAACAGAAGACTTCTCATGTTTCAGCACTGATCGTGGATTCAAACACTAGTGTGTCACACAGCTTTTTAGTCAGCCATGCGACATGCTATGGACTATACCAGCAGGGCTCCTTCTTGAGATGGAGGCAAAAGTTGAGAGTGCTGAATCCTAACTACTAGCCCACCAGGGAGTGACAGAGGCACCATTTGAAATGTAAACAGTCTTGAGCTTGGGAACAAGACAAATCAAAGCTTTATAACCTCAAACAAATTATTGATAATGTGTTCTCTTTTTCCTCTTAAATGGAAAATGAATCAATTCTCTCCTGTGCATTTTGGGAGGGGGGTGTTGTAACTAACTGTTCTGGCTTCAACTGACAATTTGACACCTGCAAAGCTCTCTCCTGATCACAGCAGCATAGAACGGTAATGCTGGAATGATCCTTAAAGGTTATGTGGTCCAAGGACTTCCCAAGTTGTGGTAAGAACCATCTAACAATGTTTTTTCAAAAACAGGCTGATTCAGAAGTGAGGTGCAGAGTTCTGTATCTTTTTTTTTTAAGTGTTTGAGGAAATAAAGATGCACAATTCTATCTGGAGGTTCCACCAACCTTCATTCAAAAGAGGGAACCTGAAGCTAGTGGAAGAGAAGTGGCATGTTATGATCGTGTTTCTAGTCCCAGGCTGCTGCCTCTACACCACTAATTGGTTGGTCTTGCCAGCAAGCCCTCACCCCAAACCAACGAACAGGACAAGAATTCAGGAAAAAGTCACTCTGACTTGAGGCTGGTCGACTCCAGACCAGTCGTTCCTGGGCAGACGACACTGAACCCCCGTGGCCCAGGCACCCCAAGGCTGGGGCCGGCGCGGCGCTGGACGAACCTGTCACAGAAGAGGCAGGGAGTCTGCTGTCTGTCGTGGGGGAGCTCGGCATCGTCCTCATCCTCCCAGGCGGCCTCGTCTCCGCTGTCCGACAGTTCCGGCATGTCCTCTTCCTCCTCCACAGCGCCCCGGCATTCTAGCAGAGGCACAACCATGAGACTTCGGACAGTAGGGCGGACGGGGAGCACGGGGGTGGGGAGGGCTGCCCTCGGGGAGCGCGGCGGCCCGCACCCAGCACCTACATCCTCCCTGCAGGCCCCACCACCTCGGTTCCCCGGGACCTGGTAGCCAGAAAAGGAAGGAGTGTTTTCACCGCATCACGGTGGGGAGACCTGGAGCACTGGGCAAGCCCGGTGCTGACCGCACGGTACCCACCGGTAGGACCCGACGCTAAGGAGCACATGGCGGTGGCGGTGCCCTGGGAGCCCGGTGTGTCTTTGGGGCGGGGATCTAGTTGTGCTACGCGTGGGCGCAGCCGCTTGCTGCCGAGCTTTCGGGGCCTGGGGACCCCGAGGGGCAAGGTGCACGCGAGCGCACCGCGGAGTCGGGACCTGGGAACCACCTCGGACGGAGAAGCACGAGTGCGCAGGCGTGCATGAGCAGGCAGAGCTTCCGGCCTGGAGGACGCGGGTCACGTGGGCCGGGTGGGCGGGACGAAACCTGGGCTCCGCCTCCTCCTACGGCAGAGGGTACGCAGCGCGCGCTGAGTACGCGTGGTGACCGAGCGTGCACGCCTCCTGCTGGAGGTGGGTCCTTCCTGCCACCCTGTTGGGGGTGAGAAGCCATGGAGTCTACTGCGGCTCCTAGCGACTCAATGAACGGGACCACCCGAAGCGCTGCCGAGTGCTTTTGTATGGAGTGTTCTGGGGCTTGCAGCCTGGAGGCAGGTAGAAGCTGCTGCAGGTTCTCCGTCGCCTCCTGGCCCTCTGTGCTTCCCTCTGAATAATTGAAGCGAAGGGGCCATTGGCCCTCAGCGCGCCTTCTTGTGGCAGAGACGCAGATCGCAGGCTAGAGTCTGGGAACTTGTCTGTATGGTGGCTCCTAGACGCTCGGGGGATGCAGCGGGAAAGGAAACTGCATCATCTAAGGGATACTGGTGTTCGCGAGCTCGGAGGGCGTAGACTTTAGGACATTGCACTGCCAGGTCAAACGTCGTGCATCTCTGGAGGTTTGCCAGCTGCTGCGTGGGAGAAAGATGAGCCATCTCCTGTGACTTACAGCCTCTGAAAACTGGCTGCGGTTCCCAACGTGATAGCAAAGAGGGTTTATTGGTGTTTTGGGGTGTTTGTTTTTTTTTTATTTTACTGTAAGGTTCAGGTGCAAGCCTTACGGGCTATTTTAAGGATTGTAGTCCTTCAAGTATGCGACTAAGGAGGATATGACTGCCTGGGCTTGAATTCAGAACTACAAGATCTTGGGCAAGTTTCCTGACTTCTCTGGGACTCAGTCTCATCAATGACAAGATGGAAATAAATGACGAAACTATCAAGACTTTAAGCCAAAACGAAAGCTACCACTAGGTAGTTCCAATTCAAAGTCACTGAAAAGACTGCCCAATAGTGTTTTTAAGGCTATAAATCTCTATGGAAAGGAACTGTCACCTCCTTCTCCCAGAGTCCCTAGTGGGTTTCAACCACCAACCGTTTGGTTGGCATCCAAGCACTTTAACCACTATATCACCGACGGTCCTTATCTGGGCTTTAGCAAGGACATGAAGAGTCAATGCTTGTAAAATGCTTGGCTTGATTTATCTTAAGCAACTGACCTGCTTTGAAAAGGAGGGGGATGCAGGTGGCAATTAATACTCACCAGTCTCACCACTCCTATTTGAGGATCTCTATGGAGCAGTTCTATTCTGTTTTATAAGGCTCCAGTGTTGGAACTAAATTGACTGCAGTGGGAGTTTGAATAACAAACATTAAAGAAAGTGAAGCTATCAAATGTGTTGTTGTTGTTGTTGTTATGTGCCCTCCAGTCGTTTACGACTCATAGCGACCCTATGCACAACAGCCCTAAACCCGGCTCTATCATGCGCCAACCACACTGCCTCTGACACGCCCATCCCGATTATCCCAGTCACCGAATCAATCCATCTCATAGAGGGTCTTCCCCTCCTGCGCTGTCCCTCTCCAAGGACCCGTCCCTCCTGGCAACATGTCCAAAGTATGTCAGACGAAGCCCCAGAATCCTTGCCTCCAAGGAGTAGCTTGGTTTAATCCTCTCCAAGATGAATCTGTTTCTTTTCCTGGCAGTCCATGGTACATTCAGTACTCTTCTCCAGCACCACAGCTCAAAAGCATCCACTCTCCTTCTGTCCTCCCTAGTCATTGTCCAACTCTCTGATGCATAACTAGCGATTGCAAAGACCATGGCCTGTATCAGGCGCACCTTAGTCTCCAGAGATACACTGTTGCTCCTGAGTACTTTAGAGAGGTCCCTAACAGCAGACTTTCCCATCACGATACGCTTTTGGATTTCCTGACTGCTTGTGCCAAGAGTGTTGACTGTGGAGCCGAGCAAACTGAAGCTGTGAACAATCTCAATCTCTTCGCCATCCATCCTGACGCTGCCAATTGGTCCAGTGGCGAGAATCTTTGTCTTCTTGACATTGAGCCTTAGTCCGTACTGAAGGCTGCAGTCCTTGACCCTTCACAGCAAGTGCATGAGGTCCTCCTCAGTTTCAGCAAGCATGGTTGTGTCATCTGCATAACGCAGATTGTTAATAGATCTTCCACCAATCCTGATGCCACAATTCTCCTCATAGAGCCCAGTCTCTCGGATAATCTGCTCTGCATACATGTTGAAAAGGTATGGAGACAGGATGCATCCCTGGCATACACCCTTCCCAATTTTGAACCATGCAGTGTTACCCTGCTCTGTTCTGACCACTGCCTCTTGGTCCAAGTATAGGTTTTGCATTAGCACAATTAAATGTTCTGGGATTCCCATTCTTCTCAGAGTCAGCCACAGTTGGTTATGATCCACACAGTCAAATGCCTTTGCATAATCAATGAAACACAGATAGCCATTCTTCTGGTATTCTCTGCTTTCAGCCAAGATCCATCTAACATCAGCAACAATATCCCTAGTACCACGACCCCTTCTAAACCCAGCCTGGACTTCCGGAAATTCTCTGCTGATGTGCTGTTCTAATCGTTTTTGGATAATCTTCAGTAGAATCTTGCTTGTATGTGAAATCAATGACACTGTTCTGTAGTTTCCACACTCAGTTGGGTCACCTTTCTTTGACTTCTCCTGTACCAGTCAGATCAAATGTATTAAGTTAAATTCTAGCTGCCCTGCGGGGAACACCACAAATACCAAGCTTCATCTCACCTTTTTTCTTTCCATAATATGCAGGTAGCATTTCATTTTCATTGTACATAGGGTCGCTGTGAACTGGAGCAGCCTCTATGGTAGCTGACAACAACCAACATTATCATCTATTTCTTCAAATCACAGAATTTAGCAGTGGGAAGCTGTCATTTCAGTAGGTCGTATTCCAAGCTCTAGACCCAGAGTTGTCTAGTACTATTTTTGATAGGTACATGTTTATCCTTTAAAGTGACTACCAGGTTCTGCATAGCTATGTTAGCATCCCAACTCAGCTAGCCTTTCTGCTGGGTTCCACACTCAAGTGGAACTTGATGTCCACTCTCAGTACAAATTTAAAACTTTGTATTTAGCTGCTTGTAGAGCCTGCAGGCCTCAGCATATATCCTCATGGGCTACCCATCCACAGGCTGCCTTACTGCTTGGTGCCCATATTTGTTAGCACTAAAACACAATTAGATTCCTCAGAGTGCAGCCCTGAGGACAACTCCAGCTGGCAGGGGCCTCCACATGGCAAAAGCCCACCCTTCCCTAGAATATGCCCTTCTCTGTGTGATGGACATTGACAATGTCCATTCTCTTCTAAGGATATAACCTTCCCTCAATGAAAGAGAAGATCAAAGATTAAAACCTTCAATACAGATTACATCTCACTAACAAGAAAATTTCGAAGGTACCCAGCATTTCCGGCGTGCTCCTGAGTGGAAGGGAGACTTGAGGGCGGGCACAAGGAATTCCAGCCCAGATAAGAGACAAAGAGGCGTTTTTCGAAGGTACCCAGCATTTCCGGCGTGCTCCTGGGCGGAAGGGAGACTTGAGGGCGGGCACAAGGAATTCCAGCCCAGATAAGAGACAAAGAGGCGTTTTTCGAAGGTACCCAGCATTTCCGGCAGGCCCGAGGGCCAGGACACAGCACCTTCCCTTGGAGACAGCTCAACTAAACTCAAGAGACACTGGTCGAAAGGAAATGTCAGCAGTCAGCGTTTTTGGAATCACAGAAGCCAAGAAAGCTTAAGATACACCTGTCAGATCA